ATAAAGACAAGGGAACAAGCTTTAAGATGATACCAATAACTCTACATATCCAAAAATTGACAAGAGCCTGATTCCACCATGCTGCCTCACATTTGACAGAGGAAAGAGCCTGAACAAACCACATCAGAGCGCCCGCTAACTTACTACTATCCACAGGATCAAACTAGCTTGCCTCCTAAAAGACCAAACCTACTTTGATGGGATGTAAAACATTTACAACCTCTCTGTGTTTACGTTTTCACTAGGTTTCCCTGTCTACTTAACTTACCTCCCTTTGAAGGCCAGGCGGACTGGCAGGGGAGATGATTTCAGAGCAGGTGGACGTAGGTACAATCTTGGAGGTATCCCTTGAGGATCATAGAGAAGTAATTTTCTTCCGCAATCCCAGGGAAGCTTGCTAATGTATATTTTAAATTAATGTGTCACGACGTGGTGGTATCAGGCGCTCGTCAATTTTTGGGCATATGGGGTTATTGGTAGCATCTTAAAGCCCGTACATTTGCCTTCCTTTTTGGTGAAAAAAACACACCCATATATCTTGAATTGAAGTAGAGATATTAGTGATTGAAAGAAGTCAGAGTCGCCTGGTTTCAAAGGCAAAATTTATGAGAAAATGACTGCCAATGTTTGGTAATTTCCATAGCCTGAGAGTCCTTGGAAACTGAAAATTTACTTTCTTTGTGCCTTTAATCAATGTTTTACAATAAAATCAACAAAAAACAACGTGTTATTAAATGGATATAAAAGGTGATGAGCCAAAAAAAAAAATATGAAGAAAAATCGCCCATCGTCCAACCCCAAGTCCCCACCCCAAACCCGCCGATTTCTTCGATTTAATTATTTTGATGAACGCCTGATTTTACCACTATGTCTCACATTTTAGTAATAACTTTGCTTACCCCAAATGTTGGAGGTAGCAGACTGGCTTAAACTGTGTTCTTGGGGCATCCCATAGACTTGAATTATAACATTATCCTGGACAGGGTACTGGCAAGGCCGATGTTCTTAGTTCTCTATAAAAACGTCGCTGTATGTATCGGTGCACACCATAGGGCGAACATAAAGGACAAAGCGCCAGTCTCGCAATAGTCGAGTGGGCAGGCATCCTTTTGCCCTTTGCTCTCCATTTGTGTTACGGCGCGATGAAATCAGGCGCTCGTCAATTAAATTTTTTATGTGCATATGGAATTATTGGTATCATCTGAAAGCTGATTTATTTGCTTTGCTTTCAATGGAATTTATATCTAACTATCTTGAATAGAACTCAAGATATTTGAGATCGAATAAGGTGGGATCGCATGGTTTCAAAAGTAAAATTAGCGAGAAAATAGTCGTCTAAGTTTGGTTAGTTCTATAGCTTGATAGTCCGTGGAAACTGAAAACTTACATTATTTGTGCCTTTAATCAACGTTTTTCAGTAAGAATCTGCCCAGAAATGTGTTCTTAATTGGACAACAATGGTGTTAAGCCATTCCCCTCCCCCAGCCACACCCCTGATCTTCTGGTAGGAAAGATCTACACCTAGCCTTTTCGGACATGGGCGAAAAATCTCGTAAGTCCAGTGTGCAAGTTGCGCACGTTAAAGATCCTTTGGTGGTGTTTATAATCGATAAGAGTAGGCTTCGGCCGCCATCCGGGCAAAATACTAAATTTCCTACTAACTGAAAAGTGTTTCATGTGTCCCGTTCGCTCATATGACCGTAGGCAGTTGCGAGCGCCGTAAAACACTTACCAAAACATCCCCCCCCCCTCCAAAAAAAAAGAAAAAAAAAGAAGAAAAAAGCACAGGAGAACCCAACGATAGGAGCAACTTTCCCTGGCACTCATGGTTAAGCACGGTACCTACAAATTCCTACTCCCCGCTTCTCCAGACTAAGTCCTGCATCAAGTCTCGAAGGTAACCCAAGTGCTCACAAACAGGGGTTGAACAATTACTGCGCGAATATCTTACATACCTTTGGTAAGTGTGGCAAGAAAATAACTCAGTATTCAACCCACCGTATCCGTAGTATTTTTTTGGGGGGTCTTCTGCCCACCCACAATGTATTCTAAAGCAATTACAGTAAAAAATAAAAAAACGTATTTCGAATCATGTACAGATGCAAGCAATAAGTCTTTCGAATACTGTGCAAATGCAAGTGAAACGTCTTCAGTATGCTGCACAAATAAAAATAATAAGCCTTTCACTGTATAAATGAAAGTGATTAGTATACTAATCCTGCCTTTGACATTGAGTAATCTTTACATGCATTTAATCTTTTGCGTGGTTACCTGGAAGGAAAGAGAAAAAAGGAATACAGAGAAGGAGATGGGGAGACAACATTACAGAGTGGACAGGGAAGACGATGGGTGACAATCTGAGGAAAGCAGAGGACAAAGAGAAAGGGCGAAAACTGGTTTTCAGATGCAGCGGTGCCCCCACGGTTGCCCCAACCACGGGATAGAAGAAGTAGAAGAAGAAGAAGTGGTTACCTTGAACTTTCTCGTCCGAAAATATGTGCTTCTTGGATATTCTCCTTGGTTTGCGTCGCTGCACTCTTTCTGATGCCTGTGGAGACCAAGAGAGACACGAAACATGAAGACTATGAACTATTAATGCAGTTTTGGGACACGTGAATAGACATAAAGGTCTTGATCATCTATCTCTCACTGGCAAAATTGAAGGCAAACGAGGCAGGGGTAAGCCCAGAGCAACCTTC